GTGGAAGTGGGATGAACTGGGAGCTACTGGGAGGCACTGGGATGAACTGGGATGGCTCTTGGGTGGAACTGGGAGGCACTGGGATGAACTGGGAGGCACTGGGAGGTCACTGGGGACAGTGGGAGGGAAAGAAGAGCTGGGAGGACCTGAGGAGACACGAGAAGGAGCTGGGTGGCCCAGTGGACCCCCTAGATGGGAACTGGGAGGTACTGGTAGGGAACTGGGAGGGAACTGGGAAGGAACTGGGAGGCACTGGTATGGACTGGGAGGCACTGGGCGGTAACTGGGGACAGTGGGAGGGAAAGGAAGAGCTGGGAGGACCTGAGGGGACACAAGAAGGTGCTGGGTGGCCCAGTGGACCCCCTACATGGGAACTGGGAGGTACTGGTAGGGAACTGGGAGGGAACTGGGAAGGAACTGGGAGGCACTGGTATGGACTGGGAGGCACTGGGCGGTAACTGGGGACAGTGGGAGGGAAAGGAAGAGCTGGGAGGACCTGAGGGGACACAAGAAGGTGCTGGGTGGCCCAGTGGACCCCCTACATGGGAACTGGGAGGTACTGGTAGGGAACTGGGAGGGAACTGGGAAGGAACTGGGAGGCACTGGTATGGACTGGGAGGCACTGGGCGGTAACTGGGGACAGTGGGAGGGAAAGGAAGAGCTGGGAGGACCTGAGGGGACACAAGAAGGTGCTGGGTGGCCCAGTGGACCCCCTACATGGGAACTGGGAGGTACTGGTAGGGAACTGGGAGGGAACTGGGAAGGAACTGGGAGGCACTGGTATGGACTGGGAGGCACTGGGCGGTAACTGGGGACAGTGGGAGGGAAAGGAAGAGCTGGGAGGACCTGAGGAGACACGAGAAGGTGCTGGGTGGCCCAGTGGAGCCTCTAGGAGGGAACTGGGATGGAACTGGGAGGCACTGGGATGAACTGGGAGGTCCCGAGCCGAGTCCCCGTTCCCGCAGCGGCCGCGGGGGATGACATCCGGATCGTGGGGGGCAGCAGCTGCCCCAAGAAGCGTCACCCCTACCAGGTTGTCCTCCTGGGGCCCCAGAAGAACATCCACTGCGGGGGCGTCCTCATCGACCAGTGGTGGGTCCTGACGGCCGCCCACTGCAACACCAACAGGTGCGCTGGGGATACTGGGACCAGACTGGGGAGGGAGGTGCTGGGCTGGGGTCCTCCCAGTTTGGCCATGGGGACGTCCACCGGGAGGTGGTGGTGGCTCTTGGGTGTGGGAGGAGATGGTGGGGGTCCATCAGGACGTGGGTGGAGGATGTCAGTGGTGGAGAACGTCAATGGTGGAGGACATCAATGGGGAAGAACCTCAACAGTGAAGAACCTCAATGCTGGAGAACATCGACAGTGGAGAACCTCAATGGTGGAGAACGTCAGCGGTGGAGAACCTCAATGGTGGAGAACATCAACAGTGGAGAACCTCAATGGTGGAGAACCTCAATGGTGGAGAACATCGATGGTGGAGAACGTCAGCGGTGGAGAACATCGATGGTGGAGAAAGTCAGCAGTGGAGAACCTCAGTGGTGGAGAACCTCAACATGGAAAACCTCAACAGTGAAGAACCTCAATGCTGGAGAACATCGACAGTGGAGAACCTCAGTGGCGGAGAACCTCAGTGGTGCAGAACTTCAACAGTGGAGAACCTCAGTGGTGGAGAACGTCAGCAGTGGAGAACCTCAGTGGTGCAGAAGGTCAGCGGTGGAGGACATCAATGTTGGAGAACCTCAGTGGTGGAGAACCTCAGTGGTGCAGAACGTCAATGGTGAAGAACCTCAGTGGTGGAGAATGTCAGTGGTGGAGAACCTAGAACCTCAATGAGGTCAACGGTGGAGAAGGTCAACGGTGGAGAAAGTCAGCAGTGGAGAAAGTCAGCAGTGGAGAACCTCAGTGGTGGAGAACCTCAACAGTGGAGAATCTCAGTGGTGGAGAACCTCAGTAGTGCAGAACGTCAAAGGTGAAGAACTTCAATGGTGGAGAATGTCAGCGGTGAAGAACCTCAATGGTGGAGAACCTCAATGGTGGAGAACCTCAATGGTGGAGAAGGTCAATGGTGGAGAACCTCAATGGTGGAGAAGGTCAATGATGGAGAACCTCAACTGTGGAGAACCTCAACGGTAGAACTGGTCATGGTGGGGTTGTCTGGAGGTCAGGTCCTCCCCTTCTGCCCCATGGCCTTCTGGGCTTGGAAACTAGTCAACCAGTTGGGACTGGTGGCTAACTGGTGGCTAACTGGTGGCCTCCCCCCCCAGCTCCATCCCCATCCGCATGGGTGACCACAGCCTGAAGACCAAGGAGGGGACGGAGCAATGTGTCACCTCGGCCAAGGCCATCAGCCACCCCAACTACGACCCCACCACCCACGACAGTGACATCATGCTGCTGAAGCTCCAGAAGCCGGCGCGCTTCACCGAGCACGTCCAGCCGGTGGCCCTGCCCAGGAGATGTCCCCCCCCCGACACCGAGTGCATCGTGTCCGGCTGGGGGAGCACCAGCAGCCCTGAGGTGGGTGGGGACATCTCGCGGGGCACTGGGGTGGAGGGGTCAGCAAGGGACATGGGGACATCTCGGTGACCTGGGGACATCTCGACATCTTGGAGAGATCTCAGTGTCTTGGGGACATCTTAGGAACATCTTGGGGACATAGCATCTTGGGGACATCTCAGTGTCTTGGGGACATCTCAGCATCTTGGGGACATCTTAGAGACATCTCAGTGTCTTGGGAACATCTCAGTCTCTTGGGGACACCTTGGAGACATTTCAGTGTCTTGGGGACACCTCGGTGTCTTGGGGACATCTTGGGGACATCTACCCTGGGGGGCTGATGTAGC